ATTCCTGCTCCATCTGTGCTCTGGGAGGGGAGGAGCTGCAGGGCCCTGCTCTGGAGCTGTGCAGGCAGCCTCCAGCACTGATCCTCTGTGATCCCATGTTGAGGAATGCTGCCCCCTTCCTTCCCTTGCCCCTCTGGTCCAAGCCCTGCCCCAAGAACTCCTCGCAGAGTCGCTCCTCTTTGCTCTGTCCAGGTTTTGCTCAGGCAAAGCACTGCTGGGCTGATGCTCTTGCCCTGCCTCCTAGACGCCCCTCAGGGAGCACCAGTTGTGCTCCCCAGCTTCCACACACCCCTGAACTGGTAATTTTTCTGTTCAGCCCTGCAGTCTCTCCCATCTCTTCCAACCTTCTGTTTTGTCTTTCAAGGAAGATGCCACATCACCTGGTCATCATGAAGCCTCTGCTGTGCACAGTCCTGCTTTCCCACCTCGGCCTCCAGCGCGGAGAAGACGCTACACCATCACACCAGGGCACTTGAAATGGGACCACTTCAACTTAACATACAAGTATGGACTTGCTTTCTAGCCCTAGAAGTATTTTCTAAGTGAGTTTTTCCTGCCATGGGTGTAGATATTAACCATATGAGTATTGCTAATCCATCTGCCAATGAATGGAAAGCTGCTAAAGTCTCTACAGTAGGAAATATTTCTACAAAAGCACATACAGCACCCTGAAAGATGCTTTTTTTCCCTCTGGGAAAAGATTAATGGCATTGTTGAATGTTCTTCAGAAGAGCTAACATGAGCTCAGACAGAACAAGGTTCAGGGAATCCCCTTAGAAACGATTTCCTAAGATGAGCACAGGCAGGTGGCATCAGATCATCACAGAAAGTTCAGAGCAGCAGAAGCCCTGGAGGTTTGACTGCAGAAAGGGCTCTTGTTCACTCCTGGCTCAGAGTCTGTCCCTCCCTGGAGATACAGGAGCCAAATCTGATTTTTTCAGCATCTGATGTGATTACAAAGGTCCTGTCAATGAGACTGTGCTAGCTCCAGCCACTCCTGTTTTTAAAGCACAAGCCCCAGACCTGCCCTCAGGAGTGCTGCAGTCCCAATGGTTACACCACCAGGGCTGGAGTGGCAGGTCCTGCTGGAGCTCAGACAGCACTTGGAAGTGGCTCCTGGCAGCAGCAGTGTGTGGGGCAGGTTTTTCTTGGCTTTGGGCTGAGGACATCACTATGGAGCTGTGTGGGTGTCTCAACACTCCAGCTCTGTGGCTGCAATGGGCAGGAAAGGTTTCTGTCACCAAACAGGAAGGAAAAGGTTTCCAGCAGTGTTTGCACTGGGATTGCCTGAGGTGAGGAGGGCAAGTAGGGTGGGCAGGACAGCAGCAGCTGTGTATCATCCAAGAGTTCTGCTAACCCCTTTTTTCTCCTCAGAGCAGGAGGGAGAGTGTCTCAAGGTCACCAAATGCAGGCTGGGAAGATAACTGGCAAGGTTATCTCCATTTGCTGCAGTTACCTCACCTCTCTGGGTAGCTGTTAGGCTGTCAGTCACACAGGAGTGTCACTGTCCCTGGCCTTGGTGCTCCAAGTGTGGTGGTGGTGGCTGCAGTGCTGGTCAGGACAGGAGAGCAGGGGTTAGTTCAGCTGGTGAGCCCCAGGAGTGGGAGGCACAAGCCTGGCTCCTTCACACAGCAGAATGTGTCTCCCTTCATGCTCATCCCACCCAGGCTGAGCCTCATGATAAGTCTTAATTGTCCAGGTTTGCACTTGTTAACAGCCTGGCTTGATATGAAACCTTCTGCTCCCTTTAGGATGTGCTGGGACGAAGGGAGAACATAAGCAGCATAGCTAGAACACAGCCAGAGGGGATAGCAGAACACACACAGCTTTTCCCCATTGCTACACTGCAGGCATTTCCTGAATGCAGATCTTCTTTTGGGACAAGGTAAGCTTCTAGGAGCCATCTGTACATTTCCATGGTGCAAACAGGGGTTCTGCCATCCTGCACTGGTAGTTTTCTCACAGTTCAGCTGCATCTTTACCTGTGCCCTAAGCAGAACCCCCTCTTGAGTTTCTCTCAAGTCATGAGATTTTTTATTTCAAAGGAAGTAACTCATTTTACTTTCACACCTTTGATATCCTTTGGAACCCTCCTTCAAACCTTCTGCCTTTAGAGTATAATAACTCAGTGTGTGCACACATTGTAGCCCAGGTGTTACAAAAGGGAGTTCCCCACTGCTGAACTGCAGTTGTTTCCTCTTCTAGCAGCACTGCACAACAGGCTGGGAGATGCCAGGATAGAAACAGGATTCCAAGAGAACCATGTCTGAAATTATGTTCTTGAGGAGGGACAAAAGCCATAGTCCAGAACATGTGATTGTAAAGAATAGGTACTGAGTAGTCCCTGTGGAGACTTTATTAAATATTCTGGCTAATTAATATGAATGTTAATGATAATACTGTAATATTACATCAATTTATTAATGTTTCATATTATTAAATCAAATTCAAGCTACTTCTGCTTGAAACCTATTAAGAGTAAATGGAAAGACTTGTCTGATGCAGCCTTAAGAGCCTTCAGCTGAAGGCTGAGAAGGGAGGAGCATTTTCCTGAGGCTGTTGTGTGTCCCCACAGGATCCTGTCCTTCCCAAGGAACCTTCTGAGTGCCTGGGACACACGCAGGGGCCTGGCGGCCGCGTTCCGTATGTGGAGTGAAGTGTCACCCTTCAGCTTCAGGGAAGTGCCACGTCACCTGCCCAGTGACTTGAAAATAGGTGAGTGCTGGGGCTGCTGGCCTGAGGGGACACTGCTGTGTGTGCTCACTGCACCAGGGGCTGGACAAGCTTCAGGAGTGAAGCAGATGATCCCCCTGTGCTGTGTGGGCTCAGCAGGACCTCTTGGGCCAGGACTTTTGCCTTTAATCAGGTAGAGAAGCTGCATTTAGTTGCTCTGAGGAGACATTAAAATATTATTAACACTTCCTATTGAGCTCTCAGTCCATCAGCTGTAGGTATTTGACAAGAATTAACCCTCAAATCCACCACTGGGGCAGGATTATCTCTATTCCACAGATAGGGAAACAATATTGAAAGGTGAGATGGCATAGCCAAGGTCACACAGAGCCAAGGAGCAGGTGACAGATCCCAGCTTGTTGATGGTTTCAGGCTACCTCCCATTGATCCTGTTGAAGCACCATTTTTCTCTGTCCCCTCCATCACTACTCCATAGTTACCTCCTGAGTTCCTCAGGCCTAGCAAGATGTCGGTGCTGAGGTGTGATCTGCTCAGCCTCCACCCCAGATGCAAATTCTCCCCAGGATTTATGGTCTGTGTGAAATAACCATTTCCTGTGCAGATGGCAGCAATTTTGAGATAAACAGACTGACCCGTTTCGCAACAGGCTCTTCCCTCTCGTGTTGCGCGATGCTGCTGCAGCACGTGATGGGCCTTCCTGGGGCAGCTCTGGGTGCAGGGCACATTGCTATGCTCTCCTAGTGCTGTCAGAGACAGCAAGCAGCTCTGGCTCGAAGGCTTATCTGTTGATTTATGGTTAAAATGGAACAGTTACATCCCAGGATCATCACTTGACTAGCCGACTTCTTTATAAAAACACTTCACGTGATGTTGCAAGAAGGGCTCAGTGCTTCTTCCTGAAACATGGACTCATGGCCACTGAAAAGAGCTCCAAGTCTGGGGTCATCACAGGGCTGAGCACAGTTTGTATCCCGCAGCCATCATTCCTGACAGTCCTTTTGCATTTGTTTTTCCTTTTGTGGCTCTGGAGGTTGGAAAATGTGGGATGCCACAGATATTTTTTTTTAGCAAACCACAAGTTTACAGATGTCTGTCCTGGAGGGGCTAACCCTGATGGAGACACTAAATCTGCTGCTTTTTTCCAAAGGCTTCTACTCCATCAACCACACAGACTGCCTGGAGTCTCTCATCCACCACTGCTTTGATGGGACAACTGGGGAGCTTGCCCACGCCTTCTTCCCACCCAACGGGGAAATCCATTTTGATGACCATGAATACTGGATCTTGGGGAACACCCGGTTCAGCTGGAAGAAAGGTGACATGTACTGCAGGGAACACACAATTAATACCTGTAGGATTTAGATTTTAGTCCTGCTTCTGGGGCTTGGGGAAAGAAATAACAGAACTGGCAGTGCTTTGCTGTAGTTTTGGAGGTTGCTGGTCCTGCTGTC